TCCCCCTGTCTTCTTAGCCTCCTAAGTGTTGGAGTTACAGGCGAGCACCACCATACCCAGTTTGGCTGATTTTCTTTAGTGATGAGTTGTCATAGATTTAGTTGTTTATCCTTTGTCCATTTAAAAATTGTTCTTAAAATTAATTTATGCAGAATCTTTACATATTTAAGTTAGCCCTTTGTCATATGATTTGCCCTAATCTTTTTCAGTTTATTTTTCTTCTTACCTTAGATGTGCAAATCTCAAAGACAAAGAAGAGGAAATTACCCTCTGATGTGAATGAAGGGAAAACTGTTTTTATCAGGTATGCCTCCTATCTCAAGATCTGCTGTTTGTTGTTTTTGTAGTTCATCTCCCACTCCATCCTGTCCTGTCCTGTCCTGTCCTGTCCTGTCCTGTCCTGTCCTGTCCTGTCCTGTCATGTCCTGTCCTGTCTTATCCAGTCCCATCTAGACCTGTCCTGTCTCTTCTCTATCCTTCTTTCCTTTTTCCTTCCTCTACCCCCCTCCCTCCTCTTTTCCCTTTCCCCTTCTTTCTCTCCTTCTCTCTTTTTCCCTCCCTCTCTCCCTCCCTGCTTGTCTTCCTCAATTTCTTCTTACTGTTTTTGTATCTAGTCCAGAAGATTAAATGCCATAAGACTTACCAAGTAATGAAAAATTTAGGAGAATGAGATCTATAAAACAGAACATGAGTAGTAGCAAGGATGCTCGTATTTTGTTCTCTGAAATTTTATTCTTTATAATTAAGGTGGTATCATTAGAACAAATCAATTCTTCGACTGTTAGAAAAATCCTGGTTCTGGACCTTTAGGGAGAATGCAAGGGTGATACTTCCCCCAAATGATATGCCACATTATGCTTAATTATTTTTTAAAGCTGTATTGAGAATAAAGTAAGACATGCCATCTGTTTCCAGGAAAATGGGTGGCAGGGGTTGAGAGTGAGTTAGGTTTTATTGCATGCTGCTGTTTTTGCCCTTCCAGCTACAGTAGATTGGTATTTTCATAGGTCAAGATGTCCTGAGTACCTCAAGCAGCCTTTTCATCGTTTCCTTTGTTCCACTGACTGGGGTCATTTGGGTCTGCTTTTGCAGTTGTTTATTTTATCCTTTGTAGAATCATGTAACACCATGTCTTGCCATGTTTTTTTAACCACATTATTTAGAACTTCCATGTACACTATTTTGTATTTGTAGAAGATTCTGTTAAGAAGGAAAAAGCATTACACTCAGAAGCCTCCATACCAAAAATACTATTTCGTATATGTTTATTAGTTAATAAAGAAATTTGAGAAATTAAAGGACAAGGGGAAGGGATATTTATATATGATAAGGTAAATTAGAAGAAATGATGTGACTAGGAGATATCTTATTGCAGGAAACTTGTCTGGATTATTTCATTAAGTAGAAACAGTTTTAGGGTTGTAGCTATTGAGGACTGTTCTACTCATGGAAGGATGAACATAACTGGAGAAATGAAGACTTTACACTATTTTAAAAGTTAAGAAAACAAAATCTTCCAACATTTTAATTCTATCAAAAGAGGGCCAGCAAGATAGCTAGTGGACTAAGTGCCTGCTTAGGCAAGTGCAGCAACTGGAGTTGGATCCCCTGCATCACATGCTGCGTGGACCTCCCTGGCGTGCTGAGCGGGCTACTGAGACTGCGTGCGTGGTAGCACATGGCTATAATCCAAGCACTTATAATCCCAGCACTGGGGAGGCTGAAAACAGGAGGATCACTGAGTCCAAGCTGCGTAGTGAGACCCTGTACAAAATATATACCAAAAAGAAAAAAGTAACTTTCAAATTCCATCAAAAGAATAAGTATGCCTTATCTGGATTGCATGGGGCCAGAAATGTTACA